CTCTTCTTCTCTCTCTCTCCTCCTCTCTCTCTCTCTTCTCTTCTCTCTCTCTCTCTCTCTCTCTCTCTCTCTCTCTTTTCCACCCCCTCTTTCGTCACCTGAAGACTCCGGATATGCACGTCCGCGAACGCGCGCGAATCACGTAAATTCTACTCGTTGTAGTTGCTAGTTGCAATCAGTTGACCGATTCCCGGAGGTGGATCGACCCTCTCGACGGCTACCGGCTTGATACTAAGCCTAGCGAGACGAAGCGACGCTCGGTCGAGACGCTCGCTGCCGTCGACGATGGTGCGACGCCCCCGGCGCAACGCCGACGCCGATGACGACGTCGACGCCGACGCCTCGCGCCGTTTCTCTGCGCAGTCGCGTGTTTAGGGGCAGAAGACTGAGGGGCAGAAGGAAGGAAACGCGGCAGCGAGAGAGGGTTGTTCTTCATGTGTCGGTGCCTGTTCGTCTGTCTGTTCGTCGTATAGCGGTAGGGCCAAGGTGAGGTGATGGAAGGACGAACGTGGTGCATACTCGAGAATTGCGCTCTCACGGTACTTCTCCGAAGAGAACGTTACCGAAAAGAAGCGCTGAAAAATTGTTGCGCGAGCCTGCGATCGAAAGAAATTATAAAAAATTCTTAACAGACAGAAGCGTTTTACATTACCGATCGATCCGAAGAAGACTTTATAGATTCTAATATCCACCTGCGAATCATTGATCGATGCCGAATGTTATTCCACAAATTAAGAAATCAGAGAAATGTGAATGTCACGTTGCAGATTTTAGTGACGTTTAATCGAAAGCTAATCGATTATGTCAAAATTTCAATTTTTAATCCTGACATGGATACGTAAAATTGGAAAAACGGACTTTATATATCTATAATACAAACTTCGGTCTTCTATCAAAAACAGGAAAATCTTGTTATTTTTTAATAGAAAATTAGAGTTAGATCAATGTTAGAATAATTGATTAATTTTCCAAAAACTTTTCAGAGATATATTTTTCTACAGAATTAATTTTTTAAATTAATTATTCAAAATAATTAAATGTAATTATTTGAATTGAATAAATTCTTGAATAAAACAAGAGATAAATCAAGAGTTAAAGATAAAAATTGATTGATTGAGTTAAAGATAACAATTAAGAATAAATTATAATATTTTGCTAACTAATCATTCGTTATCTGACTGTATCTGCTATTTATATGGCCATTCACTCTAAAGTATATCATACGACTGATAAACAACTAATATTTGTGAAAATTGATCATTAAAAGTTTTCTCTTCAAGGACAAATTCAAAGTTGAGAAGAACGTTCTTTCGAATAAGATACTATCATGTTGCAGATTTTATTGCATTCATCGTGTGTACTCGTTTGTATAATTTGCTAAAATTGGCAATTTGAAATCATGTGAAATTCTCATCACACTTCTAATATTAACGACATTAAATACTGCGGTGGAACAAAATTACAGTAGAATTATATATGACGGAATAAATATAAATACGATTTAAAATAATATTATAGTCTAACTTTATAATATTATCCATAATAAATAGAATTCTATTTATTGATTTTCAATTTAATTAAATAGATATTAGATGCGACATCATGTATGTTTGACCGCGTATGTGAACGCACGCGAATTCATATGTAACGCGTATTCCCTTTATAATTAACAAAGCGTGTATAATAACGTGTGATGCTGCACGTTTTTACCAAGTTTGCAATTGCACAAGGCACTCACTCGAGTAAATAGAAAACTAAGAATAAATTTAATCAAAATTGAATACAAATTCCTATTAATACCTTAAGTTTGTATACCATAATGTGCGTCCAGCAATTTATCTCTTAAGAAATAAATTTACCTTTCAAGGAACAATATATATAATCATATATCAGCCGTGACAGTTGATTATTATTAACGCTAATTTAATGCCTATGTGCCTCGAGATAATAGCTCCCATTAGTCCGTGTCGTTTGCTATAATTAACACTTTGAGTCCGGCGGGTACACTGCAAATCCCACCGCAATATTAAATGCTTTTCGAATTTGAAGTATCAATATAGAAGATTAATATTGCATCTATAAATTGGAAAAATATCAGAGACGACAATTTACTAACGGATTGCTGTTCTTACTGACAAAATAGTTAAAATATAAAAAGGTATCATTTATATGTCCAAATTCATTGTGATTCTTTCAAAATAGCTCAATCTACCGATCTGCTGACTATTGACTTATTAGCCCCGTGAGAGTAATTCGCACACACACAACTGCAAAATTGAAATACTATAGACTCTTAAGTAATATGCACAGAAAATGAATAGTTGCTACGCATCTTTCTCTTATTTTTTATTAATATTATATTTTATTCGCTAAAATGTCTATTGTATGGATGGATCGCAGTAAACTATCTCCTAAATCCTGGCTAAATAGGTCGATTCGATGGATGTGTTTACTTGATAGCTCGCAGTATTTTTTGGAAAACATTGCAAGACAGAAAGCGCTTTTGCGCTTGAGCTGCAAAAGTTTTCGTCAAACGTACGCCAACATCCCTGAGCTGACCTCGCATCGCAAAGTATGTCTCAATTGTGTAAGTCTAGAGTTCCGTTTTCTACGTTCACAGAAGATGACGATAAAAATCACAAACTTCTTCATAACAAAGCATTTAGATTGTACAACGGTAAATCAAAAAATTTTCAGAAAACCATTGTTTCAGAAAATATACTTATTAGAAAAATTACACTTGTAGATTTTTCTATTAAGTCCCCGAGAAAAAACGGTATAATTCGTCAGATGTAAATATATATAATTAGTTATGAAAAGATCTAATAACATATGTAATTTTATATGATCATATAAAATATTACATGTTATCAGATCTTTTCATAACTAATTATATATATTTACATCTGACTATTTTATATCATTTTTTCTCGGGTATTCAGAATATAATTAGAGTGTCATTTTTGGATTTGATGACAAATGTGAGACTATTTTATATGATAATTTTACATTATGTATAAAGTTTTACTAATAAAAACCGATTGATAAAATTATATCTCGGCGCGGTTATTTCTGTTTGAACTTAGACAACAAGACTTTTACATTTGATAAAGTATGTGAATTGCAGAAAAAGATGACAGTTATAAGAAACAACATTTTCCGAGTTACGATATTCTTGTGCTGATAGTGCGATGTTCTAACTCTATATGATCTTTGTTTTTCATAAAAATTCGCAGGGCAAAGGTCCTATGACTACTTACTGGCTGATAGGCGAGAAACCGATAAACAATAACGTGCAACAGGCAAATCCCACGACGACAAGCATCAGCCAAACATCGAGTCTTCAAGATCCGTCTTCCGTCGCCGCGCAAATTCAAACGGCGCAGCCGAAGCAACAGGAGCAACGCGCGTTTCCTCCCGCAAACCAGCAGCACAAGTTTCAGGGTCAGTCGGACCAGCAGCAACAGTACCTGGCCCAGCAATCGATCCAGTCGAGGAGTCAGGAGTCACGGCAGCAGGGACATCCGGGTCAACAG